ACCCCAACTAACGGTCATATAGGGTATTCGTGTATGTTGACTAGTTCTATATATCTTTGGTTTTACCTTAGTGCCCCTCCCTTTAATTACAGTGACAAATTTATTAAAGAAGTAGTAGTATATAAATAAAATGATTTATTAATTAGCTTGTAAATGGGAAAACCAACCTCGAAAATCAAAAGATTCTATGGTGCGCTAGTGCCTGCTTTATTAACTCTCATCATGACTCAACCACTACCAGTAATTCTTTTGGGACCAAAACAAAATAAAAGAATTTATTTTAGCACTTAAATATGTTTTTAGAAGACCCCACATAGATGATGACAATGAAATATTATCATCCAATTATGGTCAACCCCTCCCAACATAAGAGTTAAGACTAAATTAAAAAAAATCTCGTATTTGAATAATTACAATCACCCTTATCTGCTATATATTGTCTTATATGTAGATCTTACGATTGAAATCTACCTACTAAACGAGTGGATTTTTTCATAAGAAAATACATAGTTGATGGGTGATTGTAATTTTCTAAATAAAAAACTGTTTTTTTTGTAATTTAACTTTACATCATAAGAAATATTATATATATCTTTGTACATAATAACATATTGATATATAAAAAAATGTTTTCAAATAATATTTTTTTTGGAAACAATTGAAAATTCGAGCTCCAATTTACAAGCCTAAATGTGACATCACATCGTTGTTATATGTTACGCTCAGGGCTTGTTAACTGTAAATGAGGTTATTAAACATTCCCTAGGCATATATATACACCGTTTATATAAATAACCAACTAACCAAGTGTAGTATCTAATTTTTCGGTTCTACTTCTAGAACTTCAAATTTAAATCCAAATAAAATCTACGATGAGGAATAGACACGTGGGAGTGTTTGATTGGCAGGGACCTTGTTAACACACCAACATCAAACTGGAAAAGACAAACCTAATATTGAGGCTTGAGAGGGTTGACTAATCTTATAGTTCATAGTGAGACTGAATATATATAACATGGTCAATTATTGAAATTGGAAGAGGGAAACGAAAAACAATGCTAATAATATAGTTTTTTCTCTCTCTAAAATTCAGACCCTACATATTATCATAATATTCAAAACTACACACACATTCTTGTAAGTTGTAACTAGGGTTTACTTAAACTATATATACTTCAATAATATTTTTGTTAATCACAATTAATAAAAATGTTTGGAGGTGAAATCTTTGCCCTTTCTCTTTTCATGGCTTTTATGTCTTTTGATACTAATAGTGCCTTAATTCATGCAAAAAATTCAAATAACAAATTCAAAAGGTTTATGACAACATAATTATGTCTAGCTAGTAAATGCATAAAAAGAATTAGTTCCATTCATAACATTTTTTTAATAAATTGCAACAATATTTGTTGAAATCATATAATCACTCACAAATATTCACGTATAATTGTTGATCAGATCTAAGATTGAAATCAGCAGGTGTAGCATCTAACTCCATTTGAATATCCGTTTTTAAAGCTAGTATAATTACAAACATTGTTATTAAAATAAATTGCATTTTATTTGGCAAGTTTCAATTCTTCAGTCATAATTAATATTAATTCTACAAATCAAAATTATACTTCATAATAATTATTAAGTATGTATTTTTAAATTGTAAACACAATTAAATTGAAAAAAAGAAAATGGGGAGTAGCGATTTAAGGAAAGAGACAAGCAAAAATACAAAGTGAAAAATCGTGACAGAGAGAGAAAGGGGTGCAGCAGGTCTATAGATGCAGAGAATCTCATCCATAGTAGTATATATGTAGAGTTGACTCTCTCACCTCTACATACATCATATATATACACACATACATATCACAATATATAAATGCATATATATGTATCTATACATATATATACATATATTTATAAAATATATATGTATAGCCCAAAATTAAAATTGGTTTAAAATTGCTCACTACTTCTTCTCCCAAGGAAAAAAACTGTTACAGCGAAACCCCCATACTGCAATTTAACAAGTGATCCATTTTTTTTCTGACCGTTGGCCCGCATCTCTCAGACCCGTACCCGTTTACCCGATCCGCCGGCGAAACATCCATTTCCTCTATTAAGCAAGGGAAATCTGAGAGAGAGAGAGAGAGAGAGAGAGAGGGGAGATGTATAAAAACCAGCTTCAGGAGCTGGCGCAGAGGAGCTGCTTCAATCTTCCGTCGTACACGTGCATACGGGAGGGTCCGGACCACGCGCCGCGCTTCAAGGCCATCGTCTGCTTCAACGGTGAGAACTTCGAGTGCCCGCACTACTGCTCCAACCTCCGCCAGGCTGAGCACTCCGCCGCCGAGGCTGCCCTCGCATCCATCTCCTCCCGCGGCCCCTCCCAATATTCCCTCGCCGCCCGCATCCTGGTACGTTTTTCAAACCCTCCCCCTCCCTCCGGCGACGGCCGATGCCTCTTTGAATTTTATTTAATTTTTTTACTTCCTCATTTAATTCAATTTACAATTTCTGATTTAATTTTGAATCCAACCATATTATATATTGTTATGTGGAAACTGATTACGAAAAATCAACTCCTCTCGTCCGCCATTTCTCTCTTCATCTTGTGATATAGATAAGACTGCTAACTTGCGCGCGATTTTCGCTAACATGCGCCGGTGAGTTGAGCGAATCGATGAAACTCACCGGCACCGGTAAATTAAATGCATTCTCTCCGATAACCGACCAAATAGGTGGAAATGACGAGAATGCCCCCGCCATCATTATTTAATTACTAAGGTCTCAAATGACGGAATAATAAATAAATAAAAATAAAATAAAATAAAAAGTAGAGAGAATAAGAAGTTTCAAGGAGGGGAAGGGACCATATATTTAATGCGGAAACCAATACCTTTCAATTCATTTATAACATCTGTTTTTTGGGCCTTCTCTTGTACCGGGGGGCACTTTTGTCATTTCCTCACACTCAGGCATTAAATAATTTGTTCTAAATCGGTAGTATGATGATGAATCCTTTTAAATATTATTCAGAAAAATGTAGGTTTGACCGGTCAACGCACCATATGGGAGAGGAGCAAGTATGGATCCTTTTAAAAATTGTATTAATTATAAGGTTTGAATAAGTATGAATACTTTGAAAAAATTGCAGGTGTTAGGTACCTAAAATTAAATATAATAAATATTGGGTTGATTTCAAATTAGACTTCTCTCGGCGATCTGGTTCGTATATATGGCGGAGTGTTCGTTAGTTTCGACTAATCTATGTTCCAGTTAGTTGGTGATTTGAAGAGATGATAAAGAAAGATACCGAGAATTGTTGACTATGTAAAAAAATAAAATCGTAAATGCATTTTACCATGTAACATGATCTTGTAACTGGATATAGTTTATTTCATGCTACACCGATTAAATAAACGGGCTGTATCATGATTCATAACCATTCATGCGCACACGAATACACGTACACGTCCTTGTTTGTGTTTGTGTTTGCGTTGTGAATGGTTATTGTATATTATCTGTACACTTCACTCTGTAAACTGTAAAGCATATATAGCATAGATTTTTAGTGTTATTTCGAAGACCCGAGAAAAATACGTACATCCGTAAACAACCTTCATACTGAGACAGTTTCCCTTTTTCCTTTTTCTTTTTGGGCGAAAATTTACGTATAGGATGAGACGGGGGTTTATAAAAACCTGCTGCAAGAGATAGCGCAAAGAGTTGGATCTCCTCTGCCACGGTACACGACTTTCAGGTCTGGTTTAGGACACCTACCTGTCTTTACAGGAACGGTCGAATTGGCAGGAATCGTTTTTAAGGGAGAACCAGCAAAGAACAAGAAGCAAGCCGAAAAAAATGCTGCACTGGCATCTTGGTTGTCTTTAAAACAATGTAAGTAACTTCTCTCTCTAGAAGCTAGTTATATATGTTTTACTCTCTATCTAAAATCTCAGCCAGGATTTTTGAAGCCCTGTGCTTAATAGTTCTTTTTTTACTTTCTTTAAGTGGCACAGCAAGACGCAAGCTCTTCAACCGAGCAAGAAAATAACGAAGAGCAAGAGCAGATCAGAATAGCACGGGCACTGCAGAACTACCGCCAAAAGGAAAAATCGGAAACGGGCAACCTAAACGGCGTCCCAATACCATTCCAGCAAAAATTCTCAGTTCCAACCGCTCGCCCGTCAATCTCCACATCAAAAATCCTCCCGTTATTCTGCCAGAAGAATGCTTCTTCTAGAAACAGTAGGCCTTCATCTATTATAAACGATGGCCACACTACACAAATGTTTACGGCTTTCGGTGCAGCTCCTTATCTCCCCCACACGAGTCACTGCGGGCTGCCTTACCAGGGGATTGCTCCACCCGTTACGATGAGAACATCAATCCCTGTTTTCTCTGCACCGCCTAGTGGACGCTCCATTCCTCAAGTGATGGAGCCCCGACCCATTTTTAAAGCCCCGTCCGTATCCATCAGGCCCCAACGACCGATGGGTATAGCCCCGCCCGTATCCATCAGGCCCCAACGACCCACGTGTATTGCCCCACCAGTATGTATCAGGCAGGCAGTTCCTGTTTTTGCTGCTCCAGCTGGCAGGCAAGATCCACCACCGTCGAAGTTGTTGTACAAGACCGATGAGGCTGAGAAAAACGAGAGCAACTGCGAAGTTGATGAATCTACTGCTATAAGATGCCTGGAACAACTTGAGATGTGATTTCTTTGGGGGGGGGGGGGGCGTGAATTTATAATATTTATTGTCTTATTTAGTTTTGTCCTTTTGTTGTCCTAATCAATTACATCATGATCAGCCTATTTATTAATCTTTTGTACTTTGTTTGTTCTGATCTTGTTTTTTATTATTTTTATTCTAGGTAATATCTTTGGATTTACTGTGCTACCTCTTGTTTCTGTTTCTTCATCTTCTTCTTTTTACATGTAATATTTTTTGTTTTTATAAGTTGTGGTTCAATAACTATGGTGAAATCAACGGTAAAAAAAACAATGGGGGGAGAGAGATTTTGAAATGGTCTGGGTCAACGGTCAACCACTTGGAAGAGTAAAATGGGCTGAGAGATGGTGGGCCAAAATTTCCACTTGAAAGGCACCAACCCATCAAAGCATTGTCCATCTCAAATCAAGCAAACAAATAATTTGGTGGGCCCGGTCCAGACTGGTTGGTAGGGCCCAAAAGTGATATCGGGCCATGTATGATTAATTAAGGAACCAAACTGGCAGTATATATATATATTCCTTCCATGTGAGAAAAAAAAATGAAGAAAAACAAGAGAGAAAAAAACATGGGAAACAAAGACATAATTTGAGACAAAGTGGAGGAATGATAAATCATATCAACCTAAAGTTGAAAAGGGGAATATGAAAAGACTCGAGCCATTTGACCTTTTGTTTTGTTTTAGACCATCATGCCCCCATTTGTATTTATAATATATATGTGATGTAGTCTAAATGGCTAAGCCATTAGAGAAAGCCCAAACGAGAACAATTGCACGTTTTTTGTAGAGACCTGAAAAAAAGAGTGTTGGAAAATGATTTCCCGACGTTAGCACTCCGACGGTCATGTCAGCCGATATATGTAAGTAAAGAGTCTTTAGAGTACCAGTGAGAGAATATGACCTTTTCCCTTGTGCCTCAAGACTCTATTCATGTCTGTCGTAACTCGTAACTATAGGGCAGTGGGTCCTCTGCTCTGCCTGCGGTTGTACTCGTCAATTGAGGGCAAATAATTTGGCTCCTTGCGGTCTAGATCAGTACAATCGGGGGTAAGTTAATCGGTGTGGTCGCTTTTGATAGTTGGCTGCTTCCCGATTAATGTCCATTTGAAAACTTTCCACCTCTCTGTAAATCGAAATGTAGTCACATCCATCGCATGTCTACTCCATGTGGGGATAGTGACCACCTTTATGGGGTGTTGATAAACAAGTTTGAATTAGATCTGAAATGAGATCTTTATTATTTGGGCATTTTAATGTTTTATTCATCCATATGTTTTTGGTCCACAAATCAATTGACATGAATTATTCTTCTTTTGTTTTGTATTTAAATTTTCAAACTTCTTTATGGTTATTAGGCTACAAAAACAAGCAAGCAAAATGAATGAACTTTATGTCAACTATGATACCAACAAAATTATACCCGTCAACTACATCATTTCATGGGTAACATGAAATTATGTCTCTCAAATGTAGAAAACATTTGAGTCAGATTATCTATACTTCCACTATTTAAGCATATACTTTTCATGACACGTGGATTTACCTAATTGGGTGAACAATGTATTTATTTTTTTATTTTTTTCGTTTGACATTAGAGTTGAATTCAAGTATCTCAACAAAAGGTACCCTTTTCAATATTTTATAATGGTAATAATACATATCTTACGTCTTAAAGTTTATTTTTCAAAATTAATATAGCCACGTGTAATTAACAGATTGGTGGCATTATAAATAAAACAAAAGTTATGGAATCCCAATAATAAAATAAACAATGATTGCTCCTCAAAGATATATTTTAGCTCGACGCTCTTTATAAAGTGGTCCTTTTATTAGATTAATTAATTAATTAATATTATAATTATTAAAAACTAATTTTATCTGATTCCCGCTTTTCCTTCATTGCATTGGCTTGTGATGCAATACCACATAAAAAGATAAATAATGTCGTTACACATGATTATTCTAATATATATATATATATATATAACCTCTTAAATATCAAAACGTTACTCATAAAATTATAATTTATAAAAAAAAAAATACTCATAAAATCATATATTACAATTTGTGATGGTGGGAAGCACGTGATGAGAGGCCTCTTTCGACGCATGCCAAAAGCAAATGGAAATGCAAAAATACTGAAATAGTCCCATTCAATAAAAATATGAAATCAAGTATTTGATAAAAATATTATCAAATGACAATTCATCACAGATCACCGCTACTTTGCGCCCGCCGATAGCCTGCGCCGAAAAGAATTGTCAGATAATATTTTCTTTATTATACGACCGGTCCACTAACATGCGCACTCAGTTCTTTTTCTCCTGGGTTGGGCCGGAATCATCTAACCGGTGTTTGGTCATTTTTCAGAGCTGCTGGCCCCCACTCATTTACTTATTTTCCCTTACACCCCTAAAATATAATAATTTGGCATAATACACCCTTAGGTTACAATTTTGGTACAATGCACCCCATGTCTAATATATCACCCAAAAAACAATTAAATGACGAAATAGTTAGTGTTCAAATTAATTTGATGTCATTTAATTTTATCCGCAATGTAAAAATGGATATTTTTCGAGGTGCAACATGAAAAAAAAAAAACTTATATATACTCGTAATTTTGTGCTTATATTCCTCTCGCTTTTTAATATACTTATTGGGCCGATCCAATGAGTCGATTAATTTATTTAAGTTAGGCCCGCTGGGAATATTAATCCCTCTTAGATTTATTCTCTAAATAGGATTCTACTAATTAAACTACAGATGAACATCCTAACTCATATTTCTAAAGTTAATAAAATCTAAACCCACCCCTATATATTTTTTTAATATGAATTTCATTTAAATCAATCTTCTTCACCCGCATTAAATGACTTTACCCTAAAAAGAAAAGTATAATTTGAATTAGTTAACAAGCAAACAATGATTGAAAGCAATTAGTCATATTAAAATTCACACACAAAAAAAAAAAGATAAGTAATCATGGCGTAGTACATGCAGCAGCAATAAACACGTTAGGCTGTCCAAATTAATTATGTTCAATATTTGTTAAAAGAATTCTTTTCTTTGACATTAATCTTAAATATGATTCGGACTTGACATACATTAAAAGAAAAAAAAATAATTAATAATAAATTAAAAAGGAAGAGAAAAGAAATAGCCAATCAAATCTTTAGCTAATTTTTGAAAATTCTTAGAACATGTTATAGAAACTGCAAACACTAATAAGTTGGTCGCTGAATTAAATTGTTAGGACAAGAAAAGATTAAGACACCCAAAAATTAATCATCACTCACTAACTGTACCATAACTAGCAATTAATTAATATTCATTCGATCGTTATATAGGTAGTCAAAAATTACTTTGATCATGTTCCAACATTTTCGTTATATTTTACACAAACTTCACTTTAATCGAACGAAAAAGACCATGTTCGTCTGTTATATAAGACAAGCATAATTAAAACATTGCATGATGCTAAAATAGTATATCGCATGCTGGTCAGTAGTAAACTCGACGTTATAAATAAATTAAGCAGATAAGAGAATGTCATGTGGTGGTAAACAACATATATTCGAATATTTGTACTAACTAGGAGAAAATAAGTTTTAATATATTAAATTCAAAAAAATATTCAAACGATGATTTTCATGAGGAATCAAGACTAGGGTTTGAAAATGAGTTGCCAACAATCTTGTGGTTTTTTTTCAAGATCACAAAACAAAATAAGGTGCATAAAATTTTGTATGGTGTATGATTTGACCAAAGCATATCATAAGAGTAGGGGTAGGGTCATCTTATAATTACAGGCCAAATTACGGCCACCCCATAGTTATGGTCAAATTACAAAACTCCCTCTCATGTTTGGATAATTACAGTCATCCCTCAACTATGTATTATCTTACGAAAAAATCTTCAATAGTAAATTTAGCGATGTTAAATCGATAAAATCGAATTGAAATTTCGTTACGCCAACATTTCATACCGTTTACCGAACTGAATATACGATTTGCTTCGGTAAATAACCGAATTACATAAATATTATGTAAGAATATTTAAAAGGAGGGGACTGTAATTAACCAAACAAGAGGAAGTTTTTCGTAATTTGTCCATAAATAAGGAGACGACCGAAATTTGCCCTATAATTATAATAAACGCATTTTTCCAATTATTATTTTATTTTTTTAAGCATAATTTACTATTAATATTTAAACAAAAAAATCAATTCGTTGAATATAATAATAGAATAAAATAGGGGGAGAGAGAGAGAGAGAGAGAGAGAGAGAGAGAGAGAGAGAGAGAGAGAGAGAGAGAGAGAGAGGATTGTTGATGTGGAGGGCGGTGCGTGCATAGTAACAGCAGCAGCAGCCAACACAGCACCATATATAAAATAAACCACACTTCTCCCATTTCTCGTATCCCGACCTCTCTCTCTCTCTCTCTCTCTCTCTCTCTAAAAAGTAGTACTTCCCTTTTGTGTACAATCTTCCAATTCCTCTACTTCCTCTCGCGTTTTCTCTCCCCCCTTTTTTCATTTCATTTTTCAGTAGTAAATAAAAAAAAAATTTAAAAAATTAAAGATTCACTAGTGAGTAGTGAGTATTGACATGCCTGTTGTTGTTTCGTTCTCTCCAGTTCTTGTTTATTCTGACAGATCTTCAAACAGCTGTGCCGCCTTGAAAACCATTGTCTCTCTTCTCTCTCTTAATTCTTGTTTAGAGAGAGAGAGAGAGAGAGAGAGACTTCTGTCTGCTGCCTTCTTTGTTTTGCTTGTCACTGAAAAATTCTACTGAATTCCCACTTGTATAATTTGCGGAACCCTTGCTCTTTCTCGAACCTCGTTTTAGTTTCCTTGTAGTTTTGGCTGTAATATAAAAAGCCCGCCGCAGTTTATTAGACATCAGCTTCAGCTTCAGCTACCTTCGTCTGGGTTTTATCGGAATAGTAATATTGCAGTTTGCAGCCAGGTTAAAATTTTATTTTGCAAGTCTAATTCAGCACTATATAGCAACAGATAAATCTCGAGAAATTAAAAAAAAAAAAAACAAAAAAAAAAAAAACAGATGATTTTGTCATGTTGTCGTATTGGCCGTATAATTGGTTCATAGATAACAAGGCGGCTTAGATTTGGTTAAGCTATTTTGGCGTATATCACTTGGTACAAGCTAAGTACAGATAAACAAAAGAAAGTTGGGTGTTTGTTTTCTTGAAAAAAAGAAATGGCTATGGTGGGACAGATGATGCAGAGGGAGAATAGCAGTGGAAGCATAAATAAGCATCTCGATTCCGGAAAATATGTGCGTTACACTACGGAGCAGGTTGAAGCTTTGGAAAGGGTCTACTCCGAATGCCCCAAGCCGAGCTCTCTTCGCCGGCAGCAGCTTATTAGGGAATGCCCCATTCTTTCCCACATTGAGCCCAAACAGATCAAAGTCTGGTTCCAAAATCGCAGGTTACTAATTTATCGATCCAACTTTTTCGTCGGATTGGATGTGTCCTGACAATTCTTTGATCGTGTGTGTGTGTGTGTGTTTAAATTTGGTTCTATTGTTGTTTTGATCAAGTGATGGGAGTCTTGGTTCTTGATTGATTACTTATCTAGTATGGTTTATTTTAGGGGTAGAAATCGGACGGATCAGATTGGAAGCGGATCTTTCGGAAAAAAATCAATTTTTTTATTTTGGAAGTGAAAAACTAATTCGGATTCCGTTCCAAAAAAAAAATTGGAATTTCGGAAATTGGATTGAAAAAATTTGTTCCAACATCGGAAATTTTCGGATTGGATTCGGCGGAATTCGGAAATTCCAAATTTTTAGTCACATGTAACATAAAATATACAATAATATTGATATTATAAGTGTAATTTTCGGAAATTAAATCGGATCTCAATCTAACCTGTATTCCCAATTCCATTCCAATTTTTTTTTTTTTTTTTCAAAAATCGGAAATTTTCATAAGAATTCGGAAATTCCGTTCCATTTTTCAGCCCTAGACTTTCTTTCGACAAATGCTCAGAAATTAGGTGTTGGTTAATGAAATGACAGGTGCAGAGAGAAGCAGCGAAAAGAATCCACCAGACTACAGAGTGTGAACCGAAAATTGACCGCCATGAACAAGCTACTCATGGAGGAAAACGACCGCCTTCAAAAGCAGGTTTCCCAGCTCGTATGTGAGAATACTTACATGCGGCAACAACTGCAGAGTGTATGTAATGTAATGCCCTTCACTTCTTAATTACCGTTTGCCCTTTTCGTATCTCATTTTATTTTATTTCTAGTTTCTTTTCGAATCTTAACTCGGTCGCAAATTTTCTGTAGGTGTCCGCCCCGAATGCTGATGCAAGTTGTGAGTCGGCTGTATCGGCCCCTCACCATTCTCTCAGAGATGCTAATAACCCTGCCGGGTAAGTTGGATGAAATTGTTTTTTTTTTTCCTTGTGTTATTATATATTTACGATTTTCAGACCGCACTTGCTATATTTTTAAGGTTTAATGCATTTGTACGTTTTTTTTTGGCAGACTTGTCTCGATCGCAGAAGAGACCTTGGCAGAGTTCCTTGCAAAGGCTACTGGAACTGCCGTTGATTGGGTCCAGTTGCCTGGGATGAAGGTCTTCGAGTCATCTCTTTTTTCTTTTCTTTTCTTTTTTTTTCTTTTTTTTTTTAATTTCATAAACGATAAATTTCTTCTAATTTAAATACAATTTTTTTTATGTTAGCCTGGTCCGGATTCAGTTGGGATCTTTGCGATTTCACAAAGTTGCAGTGGAGTGGCAGCTCGCGCTTGTGGTCTTGTTAGTTTAGAGCCTACGAAAGTAAGCTAGTAGTACCGAAATCTATTTTTTCTTTCAATTGTTATCTATTTTTTTATTATTTTTTATTTTTTTATTTTCTGATTTTTTATTATTTATAATTTTACAGATTGCCGAAATTCTTAAAGATCGACCGAGTTGGTATCGTGACTGTAGGAGCGTCGAGGTTTTCACTATGTTTCCTGCTGGAAATGGAGGAACCGTTGAACTGTTATACACACAGGTTAATGGTGGTATAATATTATATATATCACTAATTATTATTCTGCATTCATTTTCTAACGAAGTTTTTATTTACTTTCAGACGTACGCGCCAACTACTCTGGCTCCCGCTCGTGATTTCTGGACTCTAAGATACACAACCACCTTGCAGAACGGCAGTCTCGTGGTATATATGCATATGTTTGATAGTATATAAATAAATATATACGCATATGTTTGGCAGTCTCGGATCCCAATATATATATTGTAGCTACTATGGTAAAACGAATGTAAATTTGAGATTTCTTTTCTCTCGTTAAATCGATGTAAGGTATGTGAGAGATCTCTTTCGGGTAGTGGGGCTGGCCCAAGTGTAGCTGCAGCGTCACAGTTTGTTAGAGCAGATATACTTCCGTCTGGTTATTTAATTCGACCATGCGAAGGTGGTGGATCAATTATTCATATTGTAGATCACCTTAATTTACAGGTAATTTTATCGGCACTTTGATTTTTATTTATTTTTTACTTTTTTTTTATAAATTACTGTAACTCGATTAACAGTTTCACTGAATTATTAATTTAATTCAGGCATGGAGCGTGCCAGAAGTGTTGCGGCCACTTTACGAATCATCAAAAGTCGTGGCTCAGAAAATCACAATTTCGGTACTGATTTTAGCTCTAGTTAGGTATAATATGGTATTATTTTAGCTCTTTTCTTTTTCCGACTCGTAAAATGTTGCTTGGTTTTCTACAGGCACTACGATACATCCGCCAGATAGCCCAAGAGACAAGCGGCGAAGTAGTTTATAGTCTTGGCAGACAGCCAGCTGTTTTGCGCACTTTCAGCCAAAGGTTAATCAGGTAATCGAGTATTATAGTTGAATATTGACTAAATAGTAGGGGCTAGTAAGACGTTCAGTTGACAAGATTCATACTTGCTCAAATCCGCTATAAAAGTTAAAGCCCGCAATTAAGCGCTACTATTTCATTACATTAAAGGGCCCGTTTGGTTGGCAAGATAAGATTAGCCAAGATAAGATTAAATAATCTAATGAAACCCAATTATTTTATTGGAGCTTGCGACGTCCAACAAAAAAAAACTCACTAGAAGGCAAGATAAGCCATGATTATATAATTTTGGCGGGTCGACCCGGCAATTTATTTGGTTAATCATGGCTTATCTTGGCAACCAAACGCATCCGGCTCCGTGAGATTAATTTTGTATGGTGTCTAAACAGGAAAAGACTATTTTATCCTTAAAACTACATTTTATGTTTTATTTAAATAGAAGTTTTATAGACAAGTGGCATGGCATGTAAGATGTGTTGAAAATTGTTGATAATTTGGTAATCATTTCCAAAACAGAGGCTTTAATGACGCTATTAACGGGTTCAACGATGACGGCTGGTCAATATTGAGCTCCGAAGGTGCTGAAGATGTAACAATTGCTATTAATTCCGCCAAAAATCCAACAACTAGTTCGAATTCTTTGCTTGGAGGAGTTCTCTGTGCTAAAGCATCTATGCTACTTCAGGTAGTACTCTCGATTTTTTCGCTACGATTGTTTCGACGAATAGCTGTGTGACACCTGTTTTATTATATATGCTACTTCTAGAATGTTCCTCCAGCTGTGCTGGTTCGGTTTTTAAGGGAGCATCGATCGGAGTGGGCGGATTTCAATATCGATGCCTATGCTGCTGCCTCTTTGAAAGCAAGCACGTATGGGTGTACGGGAATTAGGGCTACGAGATTCACCGGTAGCCAAATTATCATGCCACTAGGTCACACAATTGAGCATGAAGAGGTACATATATATGCTTTCCTCTGGTAAATTTTTTTGGGAAAATTACAGTTTCGTCCCCTATGTTTGCCACTAATTCAATTTTGGTCCCCAATGTTCACAAAAAACACATTTGGTCCCTCAAAAGTTTCAATAATTTAACATTTTTGGTCATTTCTTCATCAGTTAAAACAATGATGAGCACATTCTTGATTCCGTTAATAAGGGAAAATTGATGGAAAGGACTAAAAGTGTAAAATTTTTGAAACACAAGGGACTAAATATGTATTTTTGTGAACATGAAGGACCAAATGTGAGATAAGGTAAACTTAAGGGACGAAAAATGTATTTTCCCTCTCTTTTTTCCCCTCCAATTTTCTGGCTCAAAAATTGACCAGATGGGCTCAAAAACCGAAACATTTTTTGTCTTTTTGTATTAAAGATGCTTGAAGTTATTCGTTTGGAGGGACAACCGCTCAATCATGAAGATGCTTTTGCATCCAGAGACATTCATCTTCTACAGGTTTTTGCTTCTTTTGATATTTTATGTAATTTCAATTTTTTTAAATTAACAAGAATAAATATTTAATTTTGCATTTTTTATAAACTTTGCAGATGTGCAGCGGAGTTGACGAGAATGCAGTGGGAGCTTGCTCTGAGCTTATTTTCGCACCAATCGACGAAATGTTTCCAGACGATTCACCTTTGCTACCTTCCGGTTTTCGTATAATTCCACTTCACTCCAAACCAGTTAAGTCGGAGCATTCTCCACAAGATTTGATTAATTAATTTTTTTCTTTTATTTTTATTTTTTTAATTATCTGACGATGTGATTCACAGGATGTACTGAACACACACAAAACACTAGATTTGACATCGAGCCTTGAAGTGGGCCCCACAAGCGGCAGTGCAGCAGAAAATGCTGAGTCATCATCATCATCTCGCAACACACGATCCGTGCTGACTATTGCTTTCCAGTTCCCACTAGAGAGCAATTTACATGAAAACGTTGCTGCAATGGCTCGTCAGTATGTCAGAAGCGTAATTTCCTCAGTCCAGAGGGCTGCAATTGCAATTTCTCCGTCGGGATTAAGCTCCTCAGTGGGGCCCAGGCTGTCTGCAGCCTCTCCGGAAGCTCTAACACTTGCAAATTGGATTTGCCAGAGCTACAGGTACTTTTTGAGTTTTCCATTTCCAACCCTTTACATTTTAACTTTCATATTTTGAGACTTGTTTTTTTTTAATTGTTTTCAGCTGCCACGTGGGATCCGAGTTGCTACGAGCTGAGTCATCGAGTAGTGACTCAGTTTTGAAAACTCTTTGGCATCATCAAGATGCCATCTTATGCTGCTCCTTGAAGGTATGCATGCATGCATGCATGCATGGATGGTTTTGCATTTATTTACACACACACACACACACACACACACACATATATATATATATATATATATATATATATATATATATATATATATATATATATATATATATATATATATATATATATATATATATATATATATATATATATATATATATATTTATGTTTCCCTTTTTGGGTATAGCAGGCAGTGCCAGTTTTTATATTTGCGAATCAGGCTGGGCTAGACATGCTGGAGACTACTTTAGTTGCTCTACAAGATATCACGTTGGATAAAATATTCGATGATTTGGGGCGAAAGGCTTTGTTTTCAGAATTCGCTAAGATCATGCAACAGGTAGTTTTTTGATATGGGGCTGCACTTCGGTTAAGTCTGTTTTTGATGTATTAAAAAAAAAATTAATTTCCTAAATTTGCAGGGATTTGGTTACTTGCCTGGCGGTATATGCATGTCGACAATGGGTCGACATATCTCGTATGAACAAGCTGTTGTGTGGAAAGTCTTTGAGGCAGAACAGAACACCATGCACTGCCTAGCCTTCTCGTTTGTGAATTGGTTGTTTGTTTGAATGCTTCAAATTTAATTTATGGATTTACACTTTTTTTACGAAATAGAAGTACAGATTGCATCCAGAAGAAGGATTTGAAAGACAAGATGGAATCGAAAGGTGGATGCCGAAAGTTTTGTCGTGTTCATACTTTCGTTAGTTTGTTTTGTGTTTATTTTTTGGTAATTTAATTTAAATTTGCCCTGTATGTACTATGTACTAAAGTTTTGATCCTCCAGTGTAAATTCAGTTTTTTGCTGTATTGTGCATGTAATGGAATGAGTATTGATAAGTTAACCTAATTATTACATCAAAACATTTCGAAGTGACTGGCTTCTACAACGTTGTGTCATTACGATCTAGTTTACACAGTGCCGATCGAACCAATTTTGTACAGAAAATACTACTGAACTTGCACTATGTATGTATATATATATTTACACACGACAGCAACAATTTTCCGAGGTTGTGTGCATGTAAATCATTATAATTGCAGCAAACACAACAGGTTACATGAAAAATACGAAAAACCACAACATATTATCGTTCTTTTTTTTCTAAGGCTGGAAGAATATTTCACTCTGATATAAAGATTTTGTCCTCCATCATCGTGAAGCCAACGACCAAAAATTTAATAAGAAAGAAGGTAATGCGGTGAACCAGCTGAGGAAAGCCATAGCTGCAGCGGTTTCAAATTCTGTGCAACTATTCTTGCCACATGCCCCAAGATCGTTTCCGATTAGGACAGTTATTCCTGCAGATGCACATGCTGCAGCAAACGTTAGGGTAGATGTTACCTGCATCAGCCAGTAGCACAAGGGTTAAGTTTTCATAAACAAGAATGTGTCGTTCCTTATCTTACTATATAGTAAAGCAAACCATTGTGAATTGACAAAAATGTCGAAGCAGGAACTTGTTTTTGTCCAGGTGATATAAATCGATTAAAAATTAGTGTAGAGATTTTCCAAAGAGGGATCGGAATATTTCACAATAACAACACGCTTCTGGTGAGCTAATTTACATTTGATTAATAGCACTTAAAGGCCTAAATTTTGCATAATAGTTTTGATATTTAACATTATCGTAACTTATTCAACTCACTTGAGCATAATTCCAAGTAAACAGATCCTTGTCTTCCATGCTAAGACTATAGTTAACACTTCAAAGGTTCTAATCCTATTCAATAACCTTCGTCCTATCGGATTAGAGGTTGCTTTGCTGTTTGCATACATTGTTAATACTAGTTCCATTCTCTCTCCTATCCAACAACTTTTGCTGAATACCAAGATTACCACAACGACGCTCCTGCATATTTTCATTACATTAAGATATGCCAGCTTGACTAACTCAACAAATGTGCTCAATTTTTCTCTCGATTTGTTCTTGCATTCCAACATATCCATTTCACTCATTGTTCTTCACTATCTTATCATAGATGTCTTTTCACTGTATAGGCCAAAATTTTGCGAGTGCAATAATAGCATTCTTGCACGAATCTTATGTACTTGAATTCTGATCCAACTCTAAATAACAGAAAGCACTCAGTACTGTCATTTTTCTTACTTTTACATTATAGTACAGTTATTAGTTAAGTTTTGTGCCCGACTGCTGTGATAAAAGGAAACTTAGGCTCAAACATAATATACTAAGTAATCCTAAGATCAATTTGATAAATAGAGTATCTTAAGGAGTGAGAATGAAAGAGTAATGTTAGATTTTCAACAAGTGCTAAAATTAGCTGTGTTCCTGATTCATACTAAACAACCTAACTATGGTCTTCCCCTGCAAAACATGCAATTCAGACCCCGGGTATGGTTACCTTAAATTACAATCAAGAACAAGAAGGGATGGATAAAAGTTATAAACAAGTTCGACTGTAGCTAAACGAAAAAACTTGAAGCGATTATAATTTGGAATATTTTGGTAATTTATAGTTAAACCAAAACTAATAACCTGAAACTAGAATATCGTCTGACAGAGAAAGAAATGATGGGTTTTGTAATAAAACACAGATTGAATGCAGAGAATTGCGTTTTCACAAGTGCATATGTGATAATGTTGATTGAGAAGCAGCCTCTAACATTAATGTATGTTGAGAAATCAAAGACAAAAAAATCACTAAATCCAACTGTTCTGACAAAAAAATGCTCCATCGGTATGTAGCTTGACAGAGTTACTTACCCCATCACCAATAGCAAATAAACTAACGATTCGAGGGTTCTGCAAACGACGGCCTACAAGAAGTGCGTACGCATCAACAAGTGCTAATGCAAGGCTCCACAGGCTCTGCAAACCAGCAGCAGCAACAAGGTAGCTGAAAAAAGAAAAAGCAACTTCAATGCCAGGGTATATAAGAACGCACCAAATTAAATACTTTATTTTATTAACGAGGACCATGATCTTCAACCATGGAAAAGCCCCCATAAAAGATTTCTACAGTCACCTGTGAAATCTACACGTATGAAAAAGTTCAACTTCTGAACCTTCTCTTCAGTGAATCAGATATTAGAAGAGGAGGTCGACACCACCCATCTAAATTCTAATAGAAACTATTTATGCTTGGTCCTTTATATGAGAAAAACTCGGTTCATGCAAATACATTTGAAGGTGAGCATTCAGATAACTTAAACCTTCTCTATAATTTAGAAAGAAATTACAATAAACATGAGTTTTTAATCTGAGCAGGTGTTTGCAACTACCGTCGGGATTGAGGAGTTATATATTTCCCTGAGAAACGCCGCCCACATAAGGAACTTCATATAGCTCCCCATGCCTTTTCTAGGGACTTATTCCTACGATTAGTACTTGAAATCTGAAACCCTACATTTTTTGTTTTCCGATTCATTATATCTTTCTGTGCATAACCTAGAAATTGAAAAGTTTCTCTTGGTGTCTCAAGTACGTGGAATCACCTACCTACGCAGAATTCATTCAGTCTTCAATGACATTGAAGTCGAGCAAGCAATAGCTGTATTGTGCTATTAGCTATATCTAAATTCTAACTCAAGTTATCCCTAACATAGCTTCGACAAATTGAAATTGGATAACCAAATAGGCAGCATGAAGAATCACAATTGCCAATCACCGCAAATTTAGAAATTCTTTTCAGCTCAGATACAACTTATCTTCTGTATTTAGAAATTTCTTTCAACTCATACAATTAATATTTGCTGAATTGACAACTTAATTCGAATCATCGTTCTAGAATTTCAACACAGACGGCAAAAGGAAAGATTACAAAAATGTTTGAATACCTCAACCCAAAAATCGAATGAGTAAATTGAGAAGATAAAATAACCAAAGGAGGATCGATTTACCAGAAAGCGGTGACCGAAGGAAAATCACTGGTGGTTGCCATGACAGAAAGCGCCACAACCGCGAACAACAGCTGAAACACGCGCAACACCAGACCACCGACTGTCCCCGGCGTGCCCTGGATATCCTTCATCCTCACGCGCGGCAGTGGCACGTTCCCCCCGCCCTCCGTCTGCATCGGCGGCGCCTCCACGGGGTGCACCGCCCCCTGGCCAATATTCATCTCTCTTACTAATAATTCCCGATTCCTTATGGATTACTCAAAAACTTCCAACAAATACAGCAGATGCAAACGAGTGTGGGTGCGATGCCGTGTGAGTTCGGCGAGCACGTCGTCGTTTCGATCTGCAGCGGCAGGCGATGAGTTGTCGCCTAAGGCTGAACTTTAAGCTGAGGATCGCCGTTGATTTGTATCATAAGACGGAGGTAGACCGGTGGAGCACTTTTCAAAGTCCGGTGGGCCACTGGAATTGAGCTTGGTCCACTCCGGCAGTAGTCGACCAGTAAATTGTTCGTTTGTTCTAGAGCTAAATTCCCAATTCCTTTGTCAAAAATAACAATAAATATAAATAACTAATTTCTAATTTCAAATTAGGGGTTTTAGTTCGTAAATCCTTCAGACTAGTTTCATTTACTATATAGTCCTCTGTACTGTAAGTTAGGTATTGTATATCCCCGTTTCAAGTTTCATTTGCAATTAGCTCCATATTGTATTATCTTCCTAAACTTATAACAAAAAATCGAGAAAAAAGAGCCATGCTCAACTTGTACTTCATTTTCACGCCATCCTAGCTCCGCTCATCTACACTGCTACCATTTTAGTTATCCATCTCATGTCTGAAAAATGAACGTACCTGGGGATAGTCAACAACCCTTGGTTGAAGAGCTAGTATATTATCACCGTCAGAATCATCAGCTATTTGTCATTGCAGTCAAGAATAATGAGACTCTGAAGGAATTTCTCGATGTTGTAGCAGAAAAGTGTGCAGTTACAAATCCAGATTCATTAGTTCTTTAGCACTTGGATATAATTGTCTCAGTTGACCTAAAATATAATTGTAGAAAGAATAAAAAACTGAGTTACGGAGGGATCAAGTCTTAAAATTAGCAATTTCGAAAAAAAATTGAGTACAAAAACTAATTTCGGAATTATTGGAATAAACAAATTGTTCGAAAAATCATAAATTTTCGTCATATTATTAATACTGGGCCAAACATCGTATTGAGTTTTAATGAGCCCCTATTATTGGGCCTTAATATATTTTGGGATATGTAGCCCATTATATACCAATGGTGTAATGCAGTTAATTTTATTTAGCTAGCCATAATATATAGACGCATTTAATAAAAAAAATAAAAAAATTAAATTGGTTAATGTCGGCTGATTTAAGAAAATTATTTCATATTATTTTTCCTATTTTATATGTTGAAAGAAGAATGTAATGGCTTGTATTTGATGACAAAAGCTTTCACTTGAATAAAAAGTAAAATGACATGGGACCAATCCCACATCACTCCGTCACCATGTATATTAGGGTACTAAAGATGACCATCACTTTCACTCTATCACTACGAAAAATCAACATCTTGATTGAATTTTATTTTAGCTATGGCATGTCAATGTATGTATATATATATATATATATACATGACATGATTTTAGAGGTCTTCTATATACCATATATTTGGTGGACTGTACTAATAGTTTTTTCCCCTCAATTTAGATATTGACATGTACATTGGGAAAATTACGGTTTTCATTTCTCAAGTTTGCACATATTTCACATTTGGTCCTTCATGTTCACGAAAAACACATTTGGTCCATCATATTTCAATAATTTAACATTTTTGGTCATTTTTGTCGATCTACCATTAGTCCGTGAGTTAAGACAGTGTTGGACACATATGCTTGATTCGACGAAAAATTGATGAAAATGGCAAAAAATGTTGAATTTTTGAAACATGAGTAACCAAATTTGTTATTTACGAACATATGACCAAATGTGAAATCGGTGCACTTGATGAATGAAATTTGTATTTTCCCCCATTTAATACATAAACGCCTGCAGAAAGAAAAGAGAAAAAAATAAGAAAAGAGAAATTTGATTGGCTGAAGTGATCCAAAGGACCTCGTTTCGTCATTAATAGGGCAAAAAATCGCGAACCACATGTTTTATTTTTAACAAGTAATAATTTTGTTTAGTACATTTCTCTAAATTCTTTTTCAATATATTGTCAATTTACATTGCACTAGAAATCCAAATAATTTATTTTATTTTATGCTCAATTGGGGCATTTTTTGTATTTGTTACACCAAGTCAAAGTACATATATTAAATAAGATTTTTACCCATTGTGCACATACATACATACATCCACATACATATACATACACGTGAGGCATACATAATACATCATCTTGTACTTTTCCACCCCCTACTTTTCTTTCCCTCGGCGGTCGCCCCCCTCATCTGTGCTCTACTAATTTTTAACTACTTGTTAACATTTGAAAGAAAAAACTGAAAAAAAAAAAAGAAATAAAATAAAATAAAAAAAAAGTCGCAGGCCCTTGCTCGATCTTTGCGGCTTTCTCCCCTTTCATATTTCGACTTCCATAATTAGGGTTTTTCTTTGCCCCCACCACTCATCTTTCGCTCCAAATTCTACCAAAACGTTTCCTTTTCAAATCCCTACATCGATTCAAATTATAGGGTTTACAGAGATCTATCCAGCTTCCTCCGCATCGTCGTCCCCCGCGGATATATACAACCGCCGTGGTCTTTGTGTTTGTGCAGCAGCATAGGCAACTATGTTTTGGAAGCTTACTTCTCTTGCGTCCTCTTCTCCTGTAAGTCAACCGGACGAATATTTGCTTATTTCTGTGTCCTTTTTTCTTTGCCTGGGAATTATGAATTATTGAGAGTTGAATTGCGTGGCCGATGAAGTGGTTTTCTGGCGTTGAATTTTCTCATTTCTGTGTTGGTTAGTCTGTTAGGAATTTTGAGCTGTGGTCTAATTTGTATTATGTTGTAAATTATAATGGATAATTTCATGTGTTGTTACCGATTCTTCAGTTGACGATTATCCTTGCTTTTTTATTTTGTTGACATTTGAAACTGAGCAACTTTAAGGTTTTTGCTGGTTCATTTTTAGTTGCTTCTTTTGTTAAAATTGTGCGTTGATTTTAATTACTAGTGATTGATTGAATTCTGGCGGAATTATGCTGAATTTCATACTTATTTGTCTTGTGGATAAACGAGGAGAGGGAAACGGTGATTTTTTATATTTCTTTATCTGTTGTTACTTGTATTGTGTCACTATGCATGCATCAAGTTGTGTCGGAAGTCAGATTCAGTTGTAAGTTGTTTTCAACATCAAGTAATGCATTGATTGTCATACTCTTTTTTCTGGTTCTTTCTTGCTGAGCTTGTCTCCAACATTTTTATAACTGGTGACTGAACTTAATTTTTTTTGAAGAGATTTGATTTGCCATTTGACTGATGCTCAGCTATTTTTCTAATTAAAAATTAACTCTTTTGGTAGAGCTTTTAACCCCTGGGCTATTTGATCTGATTGTTTGGTCCTTTGATCTACCATAGGAGATCCACACAGATTGCCTTTTGTTAAAATAGGACGGTATGTAGCTATAAAGTTAATGCATGGTCTTAACTTGATCTGGCCATGCCTTTGTTTGAGGTTGGCTTTGCCTCAGAGAGGAAAGTGGTCTGGCAATTAGGACTAATATAATATAGAATGTTTCGTTCTACACTTCAGACAATGAATACTTCTAGTTTGGCCTATCATCCGTACAAGTTGTGAAGATAACTAACATTTACTCTAGAAAACAAAATGCAAATTATTGAAGTTGCAGGGCATGAACAATTTATTTTCTTCCAACTAGTTAATAATATTGATATTTAATGACCCGGCCTATCCTAGTTAACTGGCTATAGCTTTTATCTAATTAAGCCATCATATCGATTGGTTGTAGATTCTGGTTCTTCTGATTTCCTGTCTGAACACCAAACCTCTTTTATAGTTATGCCTTGGGGAAAATTATTGAGATTGCTATGTTTTAAACTCATCTTATCAAACTCTTGAGCATGGTTTTATTTAAAGGTAGCGAGAAGGAAAACCATATAGGTTAACAAGTATATTAGTCTGAGTTATTGCATTAAGAGATTGCTAATGTTAACATCTATATTTTGTGAGTTCAGGTTGATTCTGTGTTAGACAAGGAAAATTTTACATTGGAAGAGCTTTTGGATGAAGAGGAGATAATCCAAGAATGCAAAGCATTGAACAGTCGCCTCATAAATTTGTATGCCTCCCATCTCAGCTTCATCTTTCTGCCAAGCACGCACACAAACACACACACATATATATATATATATATTATGCATATATATTTATATATATGTCCCATACACAGTACTTGAAAATAATGAACTATTGATTCTGCCTTTAATGTTAAAGTTCATTGGTTTCAGTTTGAGAGATAGAGCTCAGGTTGAACAGCTGTTGCAATATATTGTCGAGGAGCCTCCAGAGGATGCAGATAGCAAACGAACCTTCAAGTAGGTCAATATAGTTCTGGAGGAAAGAAAATTTGTTCCAGCTCTTCAATTTCAAGTTTTACTTGTTAGTTGTTTTTTCATGTTTGGTTTTATTCATGTCTCACAAGGACTCCTTGCTTAAAATTCTTTCCAGAAAGGAATGAAGGAAATTAGATTTGACTATTTTGTGGAAGATATGATTTGTGGCTTGAACACTGTTTCATAATGTAGGTTTCCTTTTGTTGCCTGTGAAATTTTTACGTGCGAGATCGATGTCATCTTGAAGACTTTGGTGGAGGAAGAGGAGGTGAGATCATCCTATTGATTATTTTATAGTGAACTGACAATTTGATGCTCATTCCGACTGATGGTTCCATCTTATTGCAGCTTATGAATTTACTATTCTCTTTCTTGGAATTCAACCATCCTCACAGTGCATTGTTGGCTGGTTACTTCAGCAAGGTTTGGAATGGGTGATCTTTAAGCTTGTACAATATTTCATACTCGGTCTCAGTTGACTTTTGTACTGATTAAAACAACTCTTGATGTAATCTCTGCGGTGTGCAGGTTGTGGTGTCTCTAATGTTACGGAAGACTATTCCACTAATGAATTATGTAAAGGTGATTTATGTAAAATTTGTTATTCTGTGCTATATGTGCTTATATCGCCGTTCTTAAAAATTGTTGTTCTACCCATTCACCTGTTCCTTTTAGCAACGGCTTTTTGCTTCTAAATCAAAAGCCCAGCCATTTTTGGTAGAACTTTTCATAGCAAACCCTGATAATTTTAATCAGAATGATGGTAGAAAAAAAATGCCACACAATATTGATTTCTCACACTTCCAACTGATGCACATCACTATTGGGGTGTGATAAATTGCATGCATCCCGTCTTGCCAGCCAATGCAACTCCCTATATTCATATTTAGCTGAAAAAAAGTTGCTATTGTATTTTGTGAAGCTGGTCTTTCTTGGAATACTTTTGGATAAAGAAATATTTCCACAAAATATTAATTTTCTTAAGAAATTTGCTTGCAGGCCCACCCAGATGTTCTTAAGCAGCTGGTTGATTTGATAGGTATCACATCCATCATGGAGGTTGGTTCATCTATTAATCTCTACTTTTGTTTAGAGCATACTGTTTACTTAAATCATTGCCTACTAAAAATTGGGATTTTTGCTTCTGTGATGCTTGTGGGTTTTATCTGTTTCTAATTGGCTTGTTATTATCAGGTCTTGGTTCGACTTGTAGGTGCAGACGATCATCTATACTCAAATTCCTTGGATGTTATGCAGTGGCTGGCTGGTAGCAACTTGTTAGAAATGATTGTGGATAAACTGAATACCTCGGTAAGTTCGAGAACTGAAGATATGTCTTTGTAAGAACCTTTTGCTGCTTTAGGAGGAATCCTACTATCCTTTCAGCTTATAGTTTTGGTTGACACTTGGAGCAATATCTAAAAAAAAAAATAGCCCTTCCTATAGCATATGATTCCGTGTTTTTATCCTTAATCTTAAATTTTGTTAGGCAATCTCTACAAGTACATTATGCAGTTATACTTGTATTTTCTTACTGCTTGTGTGCAAAGTGATGTACTACATGTGCTTTTCCTGCATTTGCTTATCGAATTCATCCAATTGTCAATTTCCTCACAGACATGGTTAGGTAACTGATACTGATAGTATATGGACTAAGTACACAAGGCACGGTATGCATATACTTTTTTGTTTTTGGTCTAAGTGCACACGGTCAATGATGAACAAGTTTTCTGATGAACCTTAATTTGCGGCTCTTATGTGGTGCTTATTACCATTTTTATTCATGTGAGAGGTTACGCAAGTATAAAAAGAAAGAAGTTCTTGTGTATTGAAAGGTTATGATTTGAGATTTGTTGAATAATATTTACTCTGACACGAATACTATTATGGTGATTTGGTTATCATCCTCTTGCTTTAATAAGTGCTGACTTGTGTCTTGTTGTCAGTGATTGCTTATGTTATTGATGCTGCCAGACCTTATAATTATATATCTTATTCTTTAAAATTGAAAACCCGGGGTTATTGGGTGTGCTTTGGCTTACTAATCTCATATTTGTCAGCTTTGCCCTGTATTAATCATCCATTTTTTTATTTAATACACACCTCAACAAGTGGCTTCATATGACACATATATTCTTATTATGGCATATTTTGTGTCCTCTAGTGTCCTCCTGAAGTACATGCTAATGCAGCAGAAACATTATGTTCTATAACCAGGAATGCGCCATCACCTCTGGCCACTAAACTATCCAGTCCAAGGTTTGCAGAGCTTTGAATATTTCCCTTCAACAAAAGGATCATTTTTGGCCTGATGCCATGTAATGGTTTGAATAAGCTTCGACTCATTAACTTCTCTTTGCTTGCAGTTTTGTCGCAAGGATATTTGGTCATGCACTAGAAGACTCGGCTACTAAATCTGCCCTTGTGCATTCACTTTCTGTGTGTATTTCGTTGTTGGATCCTAAAAGATCAGTTCCTTCCCCAGTAATGTACTCTTTCAGAAGTCAACATGTCTATGAATCACCAATACATGTTAATCCAGATACTGTTGGTGCAATGCTCCCAAAACTAGGTGAGTTTGTTGCTGAAGATTGTGGGTATTGTATAGACTTGTGTTATGGAGTATTCTATTAAATTTTAATTGTTAGACTTTATTTATGTTACACGCATTGTTTCTACACATCCCTAAAGAGAATAGTGAATTATTAGGATTTTATGACCGTCATTTTGTACGCTACTGTTATCATGGTCATGGATAGTATGAATGCTGGTATATGGGATCATATGAGTGTTGCCATACATATTATCTTATGGGACTCGTTTGAATGTTGGTATACATATTACCCGATGGTATCGCAAGAATGTTAATAGACATATAATCTGACGTCATAAGAACATTTTCACACATTATCCGATGTTATACTTAGATTTTATGTTCCGTCAATGCTTGGACCGTCTTTTAAGGACTTTTAAGATTCAAATATCTGTTGAGTGGAAATGTTATTATAGTCCCAGCACATGGTACTGTTTAGATTAGACAATACATATTATGTAACACTTTCTTTAGATCATGTATCTTGTTTGATTGGATAGCATGAAATGAAATACACTGCTGAGGTCAGACCTCCAAGGCTCTCCCTCCATCTTATAGAATAAAATGTCGGTGTTCCAATAAACGCATTGCTTTTTTAGATATTATATGATAAGGAAATGCAAAATAAAAGAGGGATATTGTAAAGTAATGCTAATTGCTATCAGAAGGTGAATTTAATGAGAGCATAAATGATTACAAATTTATATGGATGCAATACATATGGGTGGATAAGGGTATGTTTTGTGTGGTTTTCTTCCTCTGATCCTCGTGTTCTTTGGGGTTTCAGTGGGGAGGTTTGAGGCAAAAGTCATATCTTTGTTGCAAGCTGTCTTCTAAGATGCGTATTTTGAGAGCAGAGTATTTTTGAACTTGCTAAATAGCCAAATATTACATGTTCAACTTTTCTTTATATATGTTCACTGTTTCTATGTTGCATGCACTGAAGCAATAAGTATCTAAATGTTTGTGTTCAGGTGAGTTGCTGATGCTTTTGAATGTTTCATCCGATGAGAATATTTTACCCACAACATATGGTGAATTGAGACCTCCTCTTGGGAAACATCGTTTGAAGGTTAGTGGCATGCAATCAATCATTATTTTCTCGTCAATGGACCTTATAAATAGGACTATCTCTTGATGGAATAGTTGAGCTTCTCAGAATCTGCCAGAAAGTGAAGGAAATTTTTTCTTACTCTATATGAAAAAATTTAAGGAATTTTGATGAATGTTGGGCGTTACGTTTGAATCCTTTGCATTATAATTTACTTATAACTTTGGATGCGCGTTCACTTCCCTTTATAGCTGAGGGTTAATGAGTCATGCGTATCTTGAGAGAAAGTAACCGTATCTTTCATTTATATATACAGAACTGTGTGTGTGTGTGTGTGTGTGTGTGTGTGTGTGTGTGTGTGTGTGTCTTGTTCTTACCTTGGTCATTTGACTCATTTCACAATGTTCAAATTGTGATACCTTATTGTAGATTGTTGAATTCCTTGCCGTACTGCTGAAAACTGGCAATGAGGTGGCAGAGAAGGAGTTGGTCAGCTCTGGGACAATTCGAAGAGTCATTGATCTCTTTTTTGAGTAAGGATCATTTAATTTTGTGCTATCCGTTTATACCTTTGCAGAGATTAATACTAGTTAATGCAACAAATGATCTTAGATTCATGTCTTGTGGAAATTGGTTTAAGGAATTAAACTCGCTAATATTGTCACTAAAAATCTCATCTTTCTGGTGCAGGTATGCCTACAATAATGCTTTGCACCATCATGTGGAGAGCATTATTTATTCATGCTTGCAAAGTGAAAATAACTCCATTGTCGATCATCTTCTTCTAGATTGTAATTTGGTTGGAAAAATTCTTCAAACAGAAAAAAGTCCTACACTTTCTGGTGTACTTAATCAGGTAAGTGTCCGTTATATAAGTATGCGTTTTAGGGCGCTGTTCCCTGCTTAAGCTGCATGGAGATAGATGATGTTGTTTGAATCATAAAATTAAGAATACAAATCCTTTGCTTCCTGAAATAATCCATCCATTTTATTTATGTTACTATCATCACGAAACACGTCTTATTTGGTCCTGGTATATTTTCACATGTTCTGTGTTACTTGATAGATCTGTACTTAACTTAAAACCTCTCCCCCCTGCTTTGCTGTCTTTCTTTACCATTTCTTTTGTTAAGTATGGTAAGTGGTCTCTAATGGTGATTCTTCAATCAAGTACAGCCAACTTTAGCTGCTTCTGGGAAGAAGGCTTCTCGAGCAGGATACTTTGGACACTTGACACGGATATCAAATAAACTTGTTCAGTTGAGAAACACTGATAATCGCATTGAAAAACGTCTTCAGGTGGGTGACAGATTAATTAGTCCATCGTAAATTGGTTAAATAAGCTTACATGCATATAAGAAATGTACTGTTGGCAGTAGAACAGATGTTTCCATTTGTCTTCCTCCAAAGTACTCATATAATTTGTCCTCGGCTCATGCACTTCTTCCTATTTCGCTTCAGGAAAATAATGAGTGGAACGAGTGGCAGAAAACTTTGTTACAGGAGCGTAATATGGTTGAGAATGTTTATCGATGGGCTTGCGGGTAAGCCTCTTTTCCTCTTATCGACTTGCCACATTACCTCGGTGCTCAAACTTACAAGAGTAGACTTGAATTCTGCATATAGATATTTAGGCCCTCTTTAAATGAGGACTTTTGGAATCGGACAAGCCAACAAGTCAATAGGATTATAGAAGTTGGTCCTCTGTCTGCTTGGACACCTTTTTATTGCAGTATGACTTATGCACACATACACAAGCATTAGATTTTTAATTTTAGTATTTCATGTGGAGCATCGCAGCTATTTCGCTCTGCTTAGAAATGTCTTTTCAGGCTCCACTGAACTGTGGTTCCAGAAGATGATTATTCTTTCTTTGCAGGAGACCAACTGCATTGCAAGACAGGACCAGAGATAGTGACGAGGAAGATGTTCATGATAGAGACTATGACGTTGCAGCACTAGCAAATAATTTGAGCCAAGCGTTTAGATACACCATATATGATAATGACGATGCTGAGGTAAATGTCAAAAGTGGGAAGAACCTCTTCTCTAACTCCTTAAAACTTTCCCAGAAGTAAAATATTGACTTTTTTTGAGATTTATTTATGATTTGTATTCTTAGCAGGGTAGTGGATCTTTTAATCGTGATGATGAGGTAATCTGCATGTCCAATGTCTTTATTCTTCTCCGGAGATACGGTTGCCTCTTTTCTTTTATTATTTAGTTCCATGAAAGAAGGCACACTTAGAAATTGTTTTTCCACAGTCTACTCTTTCTTAATGAATCCTCCCCGTTTTCACACATGCAATTTCTGAAATTGTAGGATGTCTACTTTGATGATGAATCTGCTGAAGTCGTCATTTCATCCCTTAGGTTGGGCGATGACCAAGGGAGGTGAGTGTTTTTTGCCTTTTTTTGATGATTTTTACTGCACTCATGACACATTAGGTGTTCCGACTAAGATAGCGTTTCTGGAACTTTCTGTTACATTGTAGTTTGTGCTTCGACATCCAAAAAATAATTTCTTGCTAGTTATAAAGAACAGAGTGATACATAAATTTATGCCAGGGATTAAAAAATGCATCAGACTTCTTTTACTCATATGGCCAAGGCTAGCATTCATTTATTAGATTCAGTTATTGTATGACATCATTTATTCCTTTCTGCAGCAGTTTGTTTACAAACTCCAACTGGTTCGCATTCCAAGACGACAGAAACGGTGGCGAAGCACCTATGAACACCTCGTCTTCAGACATGATGGACGATATCAACTTGAACGGAAACACAAACGGCGGCAACAGCAGCAGTGATGACGAGGTCATGGTCGGGGAGGATGAGGAAATGACCGAGAGTAGAGTGTCCGAGTCAAACGGCTTCAGTGGATTCAACTCAGCAGACAATGACGACCCGTTTGGAGACAGGCCGATGCCCGAATGGGTAGCATGGGAAAACGGATCGGGTTTTCAAGTCGGCAGGTCCAGCGTGAACCCGTTTGATGACCCCCAAAGCGACATAACCGACAATATCGAGCATACAGCAGAGCCCACGACAGCCCCCGTTTATTACACTTTAAGTGGAGAATCTGTACCAAACGGAACAGGTAATATAGATTCCTCCGACTTAAGTCAGAAAACCGCTGCTGTGCCTTCCTTGTTTGAAGAGGATGTGGAATTTGTGGGGGTGGAATCAGAGGGTACAGAAAAGGCTATGGAAAATGCTCTCAAGGAAGGAATAGTTGGGGAGGCGGGCCCACTGAAAATGAATATCACTCCAAAGGAACTAGAGAAGGAGGATTCGGATGAGGGTGGTGCTGGGATGAAGGAATTTAATGATGCCAACTATTGGAGAGTTGACCAGGAGGTTTCTGTGCTAGAGTGAGTTGGTGTGTGGGACTGGTTATTTTTCGACCAGCTTCATGTAAATTATTATATTTTTGCATCAATTGGGATCACATTGAATAGGCTTCTCTATAGTTGTTGTCGTTCGTAATTTAATTGTTTGCACTTGTGCACTAGGTTTGTTTCGTTTTTGTTCTCTTTCAGTTTTGTCTAAAAGTTTCTGGGGACTTTTTCTTTTTTAATCGATAAAGAAAACATGATTCATCCTCGTGTAACATGATATATGAACGTAGAATTCTTTGTTGCCAAATTGGTGATGTGTTAATGATTTGATCAATTTGAACTGGTTGACGGAGTAGTTGATGCTCGTTTAGTTTTTTGTTTTCTTGACTTGGTTGTTATTTTCAGGAGGGTCATTTTGTGCAGGTAAATTTTAGGTGCAAAAGAGTACTTACTGGTTGTGGTCTCTCCTTTTAGTGTTTGTATGTATATGTATTTAGTTTGGTTTTGCTGATGATTTGAAGGGCCAAATCACTCTGGTTTTATTCATAGTTAGTATTGGATATTCACATGTCATATAAATATAAACCTCGATTGCTAATGTTTAAACAAGGGAAAAATACATATTTTATCCCTCAAGTTTGTACCGATTCACATTTGGTCCTCTATGTTTGCAAAAAAAATATATTTGGTCCCTTATGTTTCAAAAATTCAACATTTTTAGTTAATTTTTCGTTAGTACGTAACGGAATCAAGCATGTCTCCAACACTGTCTTAACCGAAACCGACAGACAAACGGTAAAGGGAAATGACAAAAAGTGTTAAATCATTGAAATATGAGGAACCAAATGTGGTTTTCGTAAAAATGGAAGGATCAAATATGTAATAAGTGCAAACTTGAGGGGTGACAACTGAAATTTCCCCGTTTACTACCGCTCAAATAAGTCTGTTAAAGCTTAAATGTTCTTAATATTTCACTTTAATTCTTAAAAATATTTCAAATATCCGAAGGCAATTACAATGAAAAATAAAGTATATTATTTTCCCCCTCACAGATAATGGTATGTGCAAGAAGTTTAATAATAACTAAACAGAAGGACGTCCGTCCAATTATATTAAAGTATTTTATCTAATATAAATAATGTATTTAAACCTATTCGCGTTGAACGAGCGGAACAGTCATAAAAGTTGTGCTTCAGTGAGGACATTCTAGAAGGTTATTTATTCCTCTCGAGCTGCGCGTGTTCAATTAGGGTTTGCTGGTGAAAGAAGAAGAAGAAGAAGAAGAAGAAGAGAAGAGTGAAGATGATAGAGGTGGTGCTGAACGATCGGCTGGGGAAGAAGGTGCGCGTGAAGTGCAACGACGACGACACAATCGGAGACCTCAAAAAGCTGGTGGCGGCACAGACCGGCACACGCGCCGACAAGATCCGAATCCAGAAATGGTACAACATCTACAAAGACCACATCACCCTCAAGGACTACGAGATCCATGACGGCATGGGCCTCGAGCTCTACTACAATTAGTCCTTCAATTCATCGTCCACACTCGGTAATTCCAATTTTACCCTTCAAACGCTCTGTTTTTTTTTTTTTTTTTTTTTTTTTCTCTCGTCTATTGGTTGAGCTATCTGATTAAATTCTAGTGGTGATCAGTTGTTTCAGTATGGATTCCGATTTTTCTTTTGATTTGTGTTGGTTCCGAGTTTAGTTTGTGACTGGTTTGATTGCGGATAGTGTAACCATTATTTACATGTTTAATAAAGTTTTCTTTCTTGCCGATAAAATCAAAACAACTTCCATTATTTGATAGTTAAAAAAATGTTAAAAAAAATATTATTTCAGCTATTTTTAGCAAAAAAAAGTGTGATGTAATATGCAATTTTTGCGATTTTGATCGATTGTTCGAAAGTTAGTGAAATAATTTTGAAATTAACTTTTTGAATATTGATGAATAAATATCTTCTATACTACATATTAAGAAAATATTTGAACATTTCAGCTATTTTTTCGCAAAAAACGTGTGCTTATAGTATACATTTTTTTTGTAATTTTGCTTGACTGTTCAAAAATTAGTGAAACATTTTTTAAATGAACTACTTTTGGATACTTCAGAATAAACATTATCTATATTACATATTTGATTATTAAAAAATATTTGAACATTTCAGCTATTTTTTGCAAAAAATGTGTGCTATAGTATACATTTTTTTTGTGATTTCGCTCGACTGTAAAAAATATTAAAATAATTTGTAAATGAACTATTTTCTGAATACTTGTGAATAGAAATCTTCTAATATCTTCTATACTACATATTTCATTATTAAAAATATTTGAACATTTCAGCTATTTTTCGCAAAAAATGTGTGCTATAGTATACATTTTTTTTGTGATTTCGCTCGACTGTAAAAAAATATTGAAATAATTTGTAAATGAACTATTTTTCGAATGCTTGTGAATAGAAATCTTCTAATATGACATATTTGAATAGTAAAAAATATTAAAAGAATATCTGAACATTTCAGCTATTTTTCGCAAAAAACGTGTGCTATATAGTATACATTTTTTTGTGATTTTGATGACTGTTTAAAATTAGCGAAACAATTTTTGAATGAACTATTTTCTGGATACTTGTGAATAAACATCTTCTACACGACATTTTTTTTATTATAAAAAAATATTAAAAACCTTTTGAACATTTCAGCTATTTTTGGCAAAAAACGTGTGCTACAGTATACATTTTTTTGTAGTTTTGCTTGACTTTTAAAAAAATAGTGAAATAATTTTTAAATGAACTATTTTTTGGATACTTATGAATAAACATCTTCTACACTACATATTTGATTATTAAAAAATATTAAAAAAATATTTAAACATTTCAGCTATTTTTGGCAAAAAAACGTGTGCTAATATAGTATACATTTTTTTTGTGATTTTGCTTGACTTTTAAAAAAATGGTGAAATCATTTTTAAATGAACTATTTTTTGGATACTTATGAATAAAAATCTTCTATACTACATATTTGATTATTAAAAAAATATTTGAACATTTCAGCTATTTTTCGCTAAAAACGTGTGCATACATTTTTTTGTGATTTTGCTTTACTATTCAAAAATTAATGAAACAATTTTTAAATGAACTATTTCTTGAATAATTATGAATAAACATCTTCTACACTACATATTTGATTATTAAACAATATTAAAAAAACATTTGAACATTTCAGCTATTTTTCGCAAAAAAAGTGGGCTTATATAGTATATATTTTTGTGATTTTGCTTGACTGTTAAAAAATTGGTGAAACAATTTTTTAATGACCTATTTTTTGAATACTTGTGAGTAAACATCTCTATATTACATATTTGATTATTAAAAAATATTAAAAAAGATATTTGAACATTGAGCTATTTTTCGGAAGAAAACGTGTGCTGTATACGTTTTTTGTGATTTTGCTTGAATGTTAAAAAATTAGTGAAACAATTTTTAAATGAACTATTTCTTGAATACTTATGAATAAACATCTTCTATATTACATATTTGATTATTAAAAATATAAAAAAAAAATATTTTAACATTTCAGCTATTTTTTTGGCAAAATTGTGTGTTGTGATTTTGCTTGATTGTTAAAAAACTAGTGAAACAATTTTCAAATGAACTATTTTTTGAACTGTTATGCTTGATTATTAAATAATATTAAAAAATTGAACATTTCAGCAATTTTTCGCAAAAGATGTCTTATTATTTTCTTTGATTGTACAATAGTCTCAGTTTTGTATTGATTCTTGCCCAGGTTAAGATAATTGATTAACTCTATTTCCCTTTGATTCCTGCAGCTCAGCTTTCATGATGCATCATTGCTTGGGGATGATGATGGATACATACATGAAGTATAAATAATATTTCTTGGCAAATATCTTTTTCGACATGACTGCTTACAAACTGTTGAACCATGACTGTATTTATTACCTTCGTTTGATGTTTGCCTTTTCGTTGTTGGTTTATTTGCATTGTCACTCTGTAATGTAAAATCGAATAAGGTTTGAATACGCTACTGTTCAACATGTATCTATAGGTTTCATGTCATATACCCTTCCGTAAAACTCGAATATAAATAATCCAAGAATATCTCATGTTGAGTAGATATATCAAAGATTTTGCAGGAGCTCACAAGTAAACGAAAAAGTTGCACAATGACTCGATCCGAAGCATACACCCAAATAGTTGACAAATAAATAGGCATCACGATAATGTGTTCGTTTCATTCAAGTACATATTATGCATCAAAGTGAAGAGAGAAACATGCACTAATATATACCTTCCGGTAGGCACGCTAGACACAATACACAAAGTTCGGAGCTTCATAATGATTAGTTTTTTAAATTGCATAAATAAGAAAATATATTTATAGGACACGGATACACGATCTTACCCATACTGAAGAACCAGAGTTTCCTCCGGCACTCTTTAAGTACACTACGCAAATATGCTCAGGGCACCTGTCTGGTTCGATGAATTCCGTCCAAGCTCAGAAGTTGGCAAGCCAGTAACTAATTTCCTGCAAAACAAAATTTAACGATCTCAGCTTGACGACCTCCATCACTTAACATTAATTTCAACGAGTAACAAAATTTTGCAAAATTACCGTTCGGTATCGTCACTGCCCGGTTTCATAAGGATCCTCAGTGTTTTAGTAGCCTTCACGAACTCGCTGCAGTTGCAAAAACGACCAAGTATGTCAAAATAAAAAAATAAAAAAATAAAACATGTAAATTAGCCTGTCAATTGAGCAAATCTAAGAAAATCACCTGAATGGTTCTTCACCAACTTGTTTAGCAGCACCACTAGCATCATCACGATAGAACAAATGGCCCACAATCTCCGATCTATCTATCCGAAACATGTCTTCGAGCTTTTTGTATAGCTCTTTGTACGAACCAAGAGCAGATAGATCAACACTGTGGCCGACTTCTTCCGACTCCAAGAAAACTTTACACAAAAAATCAGTGGACAAACTTTTTGTCCCACCTGAGGCATTCTGCCCAAACGCCACCCGAGAAAACGCGTCACCGGGCCGATCATAAGACATTTGTTTCTCAGTGTGTATTGGTTGACCAAAAAGGACGAACAGAGGTGTCTTCTTCGCACCACAAGTTTCATCGTCCGATTTCTTCTTGTTAGAATTACCCATGCTTAATAAGCAAGATACATTATCATTACCATCTTCGTTACGATCAAGAACGTTAGCACGAGGGTATTCAAGCAGTGGGAGATTCCCACTGGGTGGTGGTAAAATTCCCGTCTGCAGTTGTTTGTTGCTAAAGTGGAGATCCGTCAAAGGGACTCCAATTTGAGCATGCCTGGCTCCCTGTATGCCTAGAGTGATGTTGTTGTCGGGTAGACAACGTAAGGAACTGCTTGGACCAAGGGGGTTGCCTGAAAACGACGGTAATGGAAATCTGCCGTCGAGTGGAAGGTTTGGATGATGGAGGGGTAAGCACAACTTCTTCCTCGGAGGTGAGAAGGGCGAGAGATGAAGGGCTGGCATGTTTGAGGCCAGTTCAACTAGCCATGGGCTGACACATTTCACATTCTGTAGCAGATCTGGTTCATCCCATGTCACCTGCGCCATGGTGTCGAGGAGAAAATGTCAGAATAAATGGATCTCGATACGTTTGGGAAAAGATGCAAAAAACGGGAATGGAGCAAACATTGAGATGTTGTTTATTTCCTAGAGTTCGGCTGAAGTTCCATTGTTGCAGTATCCACATGAATAACTCGGACCCAACTTTTTCCCGTGTGGAAATCAGTCCACATTACTTATTCGCTAACAGGAAAATGACGATTACGAGAAAAATTAAGAAATAAAACATTTCAGATGGTGGTGTTGTTCGACTTCTTGTCCACCTTAATTATTCTTCAACTGATTTTCCACTAGTTTCAACAATTTCGACTTTAAAGTATCCCAAATCAAATAAAAATCTAATAAACCAGCATATCATTTCATACAAAACTTGCGTGTTTCAACAGAAAGTACTAGATCTTCACCTTAAACGGGGCAAAAAATATTACCTGAAGCAATTTCCACGGCGAATTAGGCCAACGAACGGGATCAACAAACTGAACAGAAGCTACCGTCCCCATAAACCAGCTAACCCGAGAAGAGTCATCCGTTTCGAACGGCATCTTGAACTTCATTCCAGAGCACCAATGAATCCTCATCGCAGCATTCACAGACGACGCTTTCACACAGAACTCCATCGCGCTCGCACGCGGACAATAAACAACCTCAAAAGGCTGACAACTGGCCGCCAAGAAAGCCGCCTCAACAACTGATTCAGGACTCACTCTCCCCTTCTCCCTCGATTTCCCAACACCACCACTTCTATGCATCAGCTTGTTATTCTCATCCTCCAAAAAACCCGAAACCACGCCCAAATTCCCACCACCGCCATAATTCCACACAGACGAGGAATACTCATTCCCACTAACTCCGCCACCTCTCCTAGCCCTACGAATCCCAACACAGAGATCTCCGTTCACCGCCCTCATGAAAACAATCGAGTCTCCGGCCACAAGCTTCTTCTGATTCACGAAAGTACTCCATCCAGTGGTCAACAAATGCCGCCTCGGCGTGCCTCTATAGATATGCCTAAACTTCCACGTCTCGCCGTGAACATCTCTAACGGTCACATTCTGCACCGGTGGATCGGCGGTGTAATCCAACGGTGGGAAAATAGTCTCCGCGCAGTACCTTGGAACCGAAAACCCCCCTCCATTGTTGGCATCCGATTGGGTCAGCGTCTTCGGAAAAGAAGCGGCTTTTTCACCGGATTCGGATTTATTAATCCTTCCAAATATTCCGTCTTCATCGTCGTAAGAAACACGTTCGTTGTTTCCGACGGGAATAAGCCCGATTTTAGCGTAGACCTCATCCGTTTCATGGTCGGCCAAGTATTTTACGGAACTGACCCTGCAGAGAATCATAGGAGGGATCATGGGCAAAGCCCCAAAATCGACACTAGCGAGAGAATGTTCGGCGTGGCCTTGTGGAAAGTAGAATACTTTCGAATTAACCGGCGGCATTTTGACCATGCATCCGGCACAGGCGTGCCAAAGCTCTGAATCCAAACTCTTCTCCACTATCTCCTTCATCTTTCTCTTACTTCTGATTGATGTACAACGAATTACACCGTAAATTAATCTATTTCATTTTTTTTTCTTTTTCAATAAAAATCTGTGGGTGATCAAAAAAAATAGGGGCGGAATTCAGAAAACACAATCAACTGAAAATCAAAAAAAAAACCAATAAACAAACAAATTGAATCATAAAATCGGCAAACACGAATCCAATTAACTGCGCAGAGCAAGAGATCCGAAAAATTACCACTCAAATCCGAGAATCACAGCGAGAATTCGCCACGCCACACCATCGTCTCTTCAACACTTAGCGCACAGTCAATCTAGTAATACAACATAAAAAATAAAAAAATTAAAAAAAAAATCGTCAGAAAATACACACACTGCCAGCACACACACCTATGTCAGAATATGGAACACTAGCACATGAGGTGCAAAAGACTATTTACAGTGCGTGAGTGTGTGTAATGAGAGAGGGTTCTAGAAACCGGCGGAAAGGAAAAGCTAGTAATTCATGAATCTGAGATTCAACAAAAAAAAAAAGGAGAAAAACACGGAAAAACAAAAATCGAGAAAAACACGAGGGTGAAAAGATTGTAAGTAAGTGAAAGTGAGTTGTATGTATTACTACTACCAAAAGATTGCCTCATAAATCGTCGTTTCTGTTACCAATAATACATACATACTTTGACGAAACCTTTTTTTCGCTCTTTCTCTCACTACAATCTCGCGCTCTGGTACTCTTCTTTATTTTCATTTCAAGTCAATCCAAAACGACGCCGTCAGAGACGAGTTTTTTTTTTTTTTTTTGAGAGGACACAATATTAGTATATTAGCCAAATTACAAGAACCCCTTATGTTTGAGTAATTACAGTTATCCTTCAACTATGTATTATCTTATAAAAAGACTCCTTCCATAGGTAAATTTTAGGGATTTAATTCGGTAAAATTGAACCGAAATTTTGGTACACCAACATTCCATACTATTTACCGAACTAAATATACGATTTGGTTCTTAAATAACGGAATTACATAAATTTTATGTACAAATATTTAAAATGAGGGGTGGCTGTAAATTGTAATTACCCAAATAAGATGATTTTTTTTGTAATTTGGTCATACCTTAGGGGATGGCCGTAATTTGCCCTTAGTATATATATTATGGATAAATTGTAGCCAATCCCTTAGGTAAATTCATATTACAAAAAAACTCATAATGTTTGGTTAATTACAATCAGCCCCTCAACTATGAATGTTCTTACACATCCACCCTTATGATGTCATATTCAGCAGAATCTTCTAGATTTCGTGGAGCGTTCTCTGAGTTGTGCTTGTGTCTGATGCACCACAATTTGAGATTATAAGCCAAGAGACACGTCTTATGATCATCTTGATTCAAAATGTGGAGTTAGAACTCGGTAAAACTGGAGAATATTTTACATAATCTAGAAGATTCTAATAAATTTGGTACTGAAAGGGTGGACGTGTAAAAAAATTCATAGTTGAGGGAGACGAATGTAATTAGCAAAATATAAAAGTTTTTTTCGTAATTTAACCTTATTTCAGGGGATAATCGTAATTTACCTAAAAAATAATAATGGAGGAGAAAGAAAAGGGTATTTAGTTGAGAAAAAAGTGGGGTTTGGGGCGGTTGAGATAATAATGGATATTTTAGGGGGACACCGCCTTTAAACTGCTGGCTCGAACTGTACGGGTTCTATATCTGAACCGGTCAGTTCTATGACCTGACATATTTAATCCCGGTTTAAAATTCTCTCTGTCAGTTAATTGCTTTTTACCATGGTTAACTTTTTTGTTTTTGTCTGCCTATAATTTTGTATTCTTTCGCGCGTGACCACCACTCTCCCCTCTCAATTTATTTCTTTATCTGAATTATCTTATATAATAAACTGATTATGAAAAAGAGAAAAAGAGAGAGAACTTTTAACATCAGAAAATATTGAAAAAAAAAGGTACGTGAAAGAGCGAAAAACATTGATGCAGACATACCACATAAAACCAAATCACATGTCTTTTCATACACACACTGTGTGTTTTTCTTTTTTAATTAATTTTTTTTGGGGGTAAATTTATTACACACACTACACATAGTGGGACTACTATTATTACACCCCATAAAATAGATGCAATAACTACCATGTTTTTACTGGCAGGCCATATAACCAGAACCAAATTCTGCATGGGCCCAAAAAAGCCAGCTTTAGGACTTGTCTTTTATTTCGAGTGGTCCCTTCAAAAAACAAATACATCATTTATTATTAAAAAAAATCAAAAATAAATAAATAAAAATTAGCCTAGTTGTGCATTTAGAGCCAATTAATTGTTCTTCTAGAGTTGTAGTACCCTATCTAAAGTATCAATAATTCAAATAAAAATTTCCCATAATAGATAGAAATGGAGGAATGTTCATCTTTCAAGAACTATGCATGTGCACTTATGTTGAATTGCATGGTATTGAAAATGGAGCTTCTTACAATATTCTTTCATGAATATACCAACAAGATAATCAAAATTAGTATGTTACAAACTTACAATGACCAAATTTAGTAATATAGACCAATAGTAGTTTGCCATTTGCATTGAGGATATTTATATTAAATTAACATTTCATTAATAGTTTAAACTTTTGATTGAGGTGGTCATTTAACATAGTATCAAAATCAGACCAAATGAAAAGTCGCCACACATTTTAGATATTTTAACGGTAAGACTTCAAATGTAATTCACCTGCACTTGAAAGAACATTCAAAATCTTTTTCGATTTTGCTCCTAATTATAGGAAATAAAAAGAAAGAAGAAAAGCTCTTATGTTGGCTATTAGATAAAGTGTATCGGATAGGTTGTCATAAAATTGTATAATTTTATATTGATACATCATGCTGTTGAAATCAAACGGACATCATTAGTAATTAAAAATAATAAAAAGAATATAATACAAACCTAAATCTATAGTATCACCATCGTGTTATTTCGACAATTTTATTTATTTATAATAGATAATTCATAAAATTAAGTAATTTGACTAGGCAAATATGAGAGAGAGAGTCAGACAGTGGGACTGAAGTTAGTCTTTACACGTGGCGGTTAATGATTGGGGTTTGATAGTGATGACTAGGACGTGACACGGTCTATATCACTCTGATCAACTACTGCAGGAAAAAAAAAAAGGATCAATAATTGGACTGCTGAATTACAGCTATAGTTGTTGTGCATCATCCTGGACCCTTTTTTTTTTTGTCTCTTTTCTTCCTTTCACATGCTAATTAATTATTCTTATTTACATATTAAACATACTATACTATAATTTTTTAAATCGCCCCCAATTTTATAAGTTTTATATTATTAGTGTTTGGATATTTGAATATAACGTATCACACAATTCTTGGTGGTCAATGCTACAAAATTTGTCCTCCAAATGATGAACTAGTGGTCGGAGCAATTGAACTTGTGTCAATCGACCCAAGTTCAAATCCTTTTACGAACGATCACTAGATCTTGAGCATGTCATATACAGGTAGTCTAGAGTGATTTACATCTCTCGTATGATTTTTTAAGCTATTGCACGAGAGTGTATATAGATTTACCCATTGCACCTATATATTGGCTGCGGGTTACTTTGTTACCAAAAAAAAATTGCAAAATTTTAACAAAATAATATAGTTGAAAACTTACATATGAGTTCTACATTTATAATATTTGCAATAAAATATCGTGAATTTACTAAAAATCGTCATGTATTTTGTCGATTAATAAAGAAAATATAGATATATAGATTGATGAGTGGTAGTTGGATAAATTAATTAGGCCTACCAAAAAGATTAGCCTGGGCAATGTTCTGGGCCTTAAGTAAGCAGGCCTATATTTAAGCCTACTACTACCCCAATGTGATTTTTTTTTTTTTTGTGATCCAATCTGAATTATATTGCTTCTTAATATGGGAAAAATATAGTTTTTACCCCTCAAATTTGCACTAATTTCATATTTGGTCCTTCATGTTCATAAAAAACACTTTTGAATTTCACTTTGAGTCATCTCCTTCAATTTTACGTTAGTACTAAAGTAATCAAGCTTGTGCTTATCACCATCTTAACTGACATATCACCGTCTTAACTGACAGACTAACGGTGAATTGACAAAAATGGCCTAAAGTGTTAAATTAATTAAACATCAGGGACCAAATGTAAAATCGGTATAACTTGAGCGACAAAGACTGTATATTTTCCTTCTTAAAATTATAAACTTACAAAAGAAGCATAAGTATATATAAGCTCAAGCCAATTGATAGTTCAAGAGCTATCAGATATAATAATAAATTCAATGTATATGCAAAAAATATTTGATTATAGTATATAATTTCTTATTGCAATGTTACCATACCGAGAAATTAAATACCAAATTCCCCCCCAAATTTGTTAACCTATAGTACAGTTAGGGCCAAACTAGATTCATACATATATCTTTCTTAATTTCCACAAAAAACCTGCAAACAAGAATGTGATGAGATAAAAAAAACATGTCTTAATTTCAAGATAACATCACTTAGAAAATCTTACCATCTTTTTAATCTAGTCAACAGCTCCAATTCCTCTGATAATTAAATTCTCCTAATCTAGTAGAGAACTCACCTCCATTTTTGTACAATGTTCTAACTACATCTCACCATTAAAAACACGAAAACGAAAGACACAGCAACCAGCATCTTTTTTTTTTTTCAGCATACATGATCAAACGAACAGCTACTACTACTCACGGGAACAATTACCTCCATCGACCGCTCCTCGGTTTTACCATTTTGCCCCTCGGTCCTCGTCTCTATCACCACCGACCGCTCCTCGATTTTACCATTTTGCCCCTCTGTCCTCGTCTCTACCACCACCGACCGCTCCTCGATTTTACCGTTTTGCCCTTTGGTCCTCATCTCCACCACCTTCCTGTGCGAGTTCGAGTGCACGGTCGGCACAAAAGTCGGACTTGCTGCTGGCCGGTACTCTGGGAAGAGTCTGCCAGACCGGTAGCGGACCCCACATGCATTGCACAGTGTCTTGGGTCCAGCCGGACCCTCCCTCCACTGAGGCGTTTTCATGACTTGGCAATGCGTGCACCTCTTAGTAGTAGCGGTGGGGCTGCGCTGCTGCGCAGCGGAGGATTGCAGCTCCGTCGGACGCTCGGAGCAGCCTTGGAATTGAATAATCGCCTTGAGGGATGAGGAGTTTTCAATTGCTTGCTGAGGCAGTTTCTTTCTCCTCCCTCTTTTTTTCACCGCATCCGGACAGCTGGCAAACAGAGTTGGAATCAGATGCCATGGGCTTAAACCTGAGGGCTTTCTTGCCCGTTTGGATCGGGCTCGTTTGGTAATACGTGATTTGATAAGCGGGCTTTTGCCGGATGATGTTGACCTGCTACTTTCAAGGACAGAAACAGGGCTTTGTGTTTGGAATATACCCTGTTCTTTGACCTCAATTGACTTGTTTGGGTAAGGAGTTGCATCGACCTTTGTTTGTTTTAGCAGTGGCGAAAAGGGATATGAGCAAATCCAAAAAAAAATCGGAAAATAAAAAAAGAAACAGAGAAGGCATAATTAGACACATCAAACGGAAAACAATGGCAAATACCAAATGTTTAGCAAATAAGTAGTTAACGAACATTTTTCCTATCTTTGGAGACACTCCAAACACGTTAAAAAGCACTATGTTACACGTGCTTTTGTTTCTTTCTTTTCGATCGCTACTTTAATATGTATTGTTCGAACAAACATAATTTTAAAAACAGATAAATAAGTGAAAACTTAAAGATATTATAAATAAGTCAATATGTAACCAAATAGTATGCCATGATTAATGCGTAATTCTTTTTGACCTCTAATTTGATATGCATTGATGCACAAGAATAAACTTAAAGATATTCATTTAATAAAGGACATAAATTTGTTTGCAAACTCAACTCTCACGTGTCGTCGCGATTATGCAAGACTCGGTTATGAAAAATCTATTCGTCAATGTATCTCGACAATAACAAAAAATTAGACATTAAATTCGTTTACACACAACTTTATCTAATTTTAACGCGACCCGAAAGTTAAAGTTATTTCAGTAAACGACAAAGTGACAAATACATCCAAATTTCGTTTAACTTACTTGAAGCTATCCAAATTTCAAGAAAAAGTCGGCCTCGTTTTCAAACAACAATTAACCTATACGGGGGTTCTAAATATTCGTGCAGCTATCATTATCTAGACCATTTAAAATAATTGCATTTACATTACATTAAAAAAAAAAAAACCAAAATACTTGTGACATTCGATAATACTCACCGGAGCAATTGGAGTGGATTTGTTATGACCGATCACGGGCTGCCCAATCAGGACATCGGACGGAATAGGGCCGAGAAATTCGGACTTGGTAGAATCCCAATCTCCAACAAACTCTTCATCGCCTTCGAAACTTTCGACCGGATAATCCAAAATGCTAAGTATATTGTCCAACTCCGCTTCTCCGGCGGTTCCATTAACAATTGCTTCCCAACAGATATAAGGCTCCTTAACCTCACTCATAGTCTGACAAAATACGTACACGAAAAAGAGCTTTATTCAATTGCTCGATAGCAATAACAGCACAAAACGAAAAAAAGAAAAAACTTTTATTTCAATGTACTTATTCTAGTCAAAGAATCAAACAAAGTAACCATGCTGCCAATATTAGTGACGATTAAAGAAAATAGAATGGCAATTAGGTAAATAGTTTAATTGTTTAGAAATAAATTGGTAATTTATATATCAAGCAAAAAAGTTTCCATTTCACCAAACGGGGAAGCTTTTCTTATTTTTTTCCCTTTTCAAGTCAAGTGAAAAAGAGGGGTCACTTTTTCAACGTCAAACGACACCGTTTCGTATGTTAACGTTACAAACAACTGCAACTATTCCAGACAAACATTTGCCCTAAAAAAAACCCTAGCCGAATACG